TCAATTCCTTTGCGACAGTTGATGTGGTGGCTCATGTTCCATTTGGAGATCACTTTCCTGCAGTTGGTGATTCGCTGTGATACTGGTGCTAGTCGATTAGCTTTCCAGGTGGCTGAGATAAGTTTATTTATCTCATTGTTTGATCTCAATTTTCTGTCGTATCAGAAAATTCCCCTCTTTTTCTCGAGTCAGGTTCAAGGTAAGATATGATGGGTATATGTTTTGAGCCTTCGAACTTTAGATAGTGGCAGCAGTTTGATGGGAAACACTCAGTCCACTCACTGTTGGAGACAGCTCGATCAAGTCTATAGTGCACCTTATGAGTGTGGCGCATGCCTTTCTAGGAGAGGGAATTTCTGTGGTGGCTTAAATCATAAAGGTCACACTGTGAGAAGAATTCCTGGAAGTCACCGAAAGAGCTTTCAACCAAAACAAAGTAAATAAAGATATAAAGGGTAAACCAAACCAAACCCAAAAAAAAAAATAATTATCCAATTCAAAGTCGTGGGCTGAAACATTAAACCCTGATCAATTCCTCAAGCGCTAACAACAGATATAAACATCTGATCCACCAATTTTTTTGCTTTGATTATTTTTAGGGCAACCCTAATTATCATCAACTCCTTAATCAAAATCACTGATCTTGAGAGGAAAGCAAGGATCGTGCCCTAATTTTTTTTAACTTCCAAATTTGATTTCGTCAAAAACATTGATGAAGATGAATAGCTACGGATCACAATCAAGAGCTCCACCACAGAAAAGGCATGGATTAAAAATTAGGGCTCCATCTCAGAAAAACCAACAAGCAGAATAGTATCTCGATGCATCTGCTGATCATGGACAGGTTATTTGCAAAGTAATGTTAACCAAAAACAATTACGAGCGATGTGAGACACTTATGAGGAATGCATTGAAGGCTAAAAGAAAAGTTGGATTCATTCATGGCATTGTTAAAAAGGTGCAGAGAGGAGCTAATAAACTGAAGATGTGGTTTTTGGTTAACCAAATGTTTGTTCCTTGGATCCTAAACTCTATTGATCTCAAACTCCGAAGCTCGAATCCTAGCCCTAAACTGCTTTTGAGCTATGGCAAAGCAAACGAGAAAAGTTATCACCTCTTGGTAAAGATAATGCGGAGAAGGAGAATTCTCAGCAAGCTTCAAAGACCAATGCTCCTAAGGAAGTACGTTTCTAATTTTCTGATTGTATTTCTTTGTTTTTCATATACTTGAATGGTATGTAGCTTTTCACGTTTTTAGGTTTTAAAAATATGATTTTATCTGTTACATGGTATTTACAATAATAAACAAAATGATTAAAAAACTGAATTCAGAGATATAACCTTGTCTATGACATAGTAATTTTGAGGAAAAATGTATAGATTTTTTTTTTTTTAAAAAAGAAAAAGTTTATATTAAAAATCGTATAGTAAAAATGAAGATGGTATGTTGTTGAAAGAGGGTAATACAGTTCTAGAGGACAAGTTATGGTATAAAGCAAAGGAAAAATTATGGTATAAGCAGAGTACTTATTCCCAAGACATCTCATTTAATTTCAGTTATTTTGTTTGAGTGTCATTAAATATGGGTATACGGGTGGACATCTTTGAGTTATTAATATATTGAAGAGAGTTCAATAGCTGTTTCATTAGAAAAAACAAACCCACAAATATTATATACTTTCTCCTGTATTGTTGTAGCCTTACCTAGTTATCACAGGTATATAATATTATATTTGTGGTGGTGGATCGTCTGAAAAAGTATAGTCACTTCAGAAATCTTAAATACCCTTTCACAGCTCCTAATGTGGTACGGAACTTTATTTTAGAGGTGGTCCATCTCCATGATTTCCCTAATTCCATATTGTTTCAGAAAAGACATGATTTTTTTAGTTAGTTCGGAATAATTTATTCAGACTGTTAACAACAAAAAAATGACAACCACAGTGCTGCCTTTCAAGCTCAAACAGATTGGCAAACAGATGTGCTTAACCGTTATTTAGAAACAAATCTTTGGTTTTTTGCTTCCACATATCTTGGAACATGGTACAAATTTTTTGGATGGACATAAATTTAGTATAATACATCTTACCACGTCTTCTAAGATCGTTCCCTTCAAATTATTCCCTCTTCCTCATGTTTTTTGCTTGCTTGACAGATGTAATAGTTGAGCCTGCAGACATTTAGGCTACACGTTACAACTCTACATGCGATTTGGAGATTTTGTTGCAATGGTTGGTGAATGATTTTAAGAAACTGAGATATCTAGACCAGAAAAATCCTACTGAGTAACTTGACTTGCACTTTACGCCAAGCATCAATCTCTGAAGACGCCAACATTGAAGGGATGGAGGTAAAACCCGGAGGTGGCCAAATAATTAGTCGTGCAGTGGAAGCATTGAGATGTCACAGTAGAATTCATCTGAAAGACGCTCCAAGTTATAGTTGATAACTAAGTGTAGGAGATGTCCTTCCGAATTCAAGGACGAATTCATTTCAACTGGAGAAGTTTGTGACATCTCAATCTTAGGATTTGGGCCCATTTTTTTTCTAGCAGTCCAAATTCTAAAAGCTTCTCTAAAATTTTTGGTTATCTATCTATGTCCAAAAGAAAACTCCTAAACCTAAAAACCAAGCCCAAGCATATTTCCATTCTCTAAAACCTTAAACCTAACCTATTCCGCTTCTCCTATATAAAGGAGCTCGTGGAGGATGAGGAGACCAGAGAATTTCAGCACTGACGAAACCCTGTCAAAATTCCAACACCACCCAGAACCACTGGAGTTGCCCAGATCCACCTGAGGAGAGAGAGAAAGAGAGGGGGAAGAGGCCAATCTTAGCGACCATCTTGTGAGGTTTTTTCCGTGAACCGAAGAGAACCAGAGGCTGATCTACATATCATTTTGAAGCCCTTCTAACCAGATTTCTAGATCTTTTTTCCGATCTTGATTCCAAGGTAATCTCCAAAAGTTATCATCATACATTTCTGGCAAAAAAACTTATTTTTCTGAAAAAAAGAAAGTCATTTATGGTAATCCATTTTAGAAAAGTACAATTAATTTTTGGAAGGTTTTTATAATTGTACTTTCCTAAAATAGATCCATTTTATAAAAAATGGCTTTTCTTTTTCAGAAAAAAATTTTCTTGGCTGGAAAGGTACGTCGATAACTTTCAGAAATTACCTCGGAATCAAGATTGGGAAACAGAATGGAAAATCTGGTTGAGAGAGATTCAGAATGATATGTAGATCGGCCTCTGGTTATCTATGTTTTGCCAGAAAAACACCTCACAAGGTGGTTGGTCGGATTGGTCTCTTCCTCCTCTCTCTCTCCAGTGGATCTGGTCAACTCTGTTGGTTCTGGGCGGTGTTAGAATTTGGCAGGGCTTCGCTGGTGCTAAAACTCTTCGTCTTCCTCATCATCCATGAGCTCATTTATATAGGAGAAGTAAATATGTTTGGTTTAGAGTTTTAAAGAATAAAATTTGTTTGAGTTTAGTTTTTGGGCTTATGAGTTTTCTGCTGGACCTGGATAGTTTGACCGAAAATTAGAAATAGGTTTTTAGAAATTGGGCTCCTAAAAAATACAAAAACAGGTCAAGAGTACTCCTTTCAGTGCAGCACTGCAAACACAAGTTCGACTTTTTCTTTTTGGTTTTTTTTTTAAAGTTTTTTTCTAAAGCAAAATGTGAATCTAAAATCAAAGACTACAACTCTTTATATAGCCACGGACAAACCCCAAAGTAATTAGGGTTTCTAATAAGAAAAGTAACTATCGTTAAAAGGAAAATACGAAAAGGAAAAATTAACACCTTGAAGGACATGTCAACACCAACACCTAAACAACGTGTTGTTCACAAAACCGCTAATAGATGCTATGCATCAGAGCGGCAGAGATGCGCAAGGAACAAAAAAAGGCAGAGAAGATCTAGAGAGGCTCATCAATTATAGAGGCAGCCAAAGAAGCGTCAAAAGCCACTTACCAGCACAAGAAAAGCAAGGATGCGATTGCTGCTGCTAAAGAACGGTTCATGGGTCGGAAGAAGGCAAAGAGGAATAGTTGTGTAATTTGGCAAATTTCAGTCAAAGGTTACTTTTGGTGAACTTGTCTTCTAGTTATCGATCACCTGATTAACCAAAGTGATCAGAAAATGCTATTTAGAGAAGTTGTAAGGTCATTATGTGTAACGAAAGTCACCTTTTTCTTGCAACAAAGTCTCTAATATTTGTAACCAAGTTCAATTTCTTCGGAAACATAACAAAATGCCATTATGTGTATTGTGTAACAAACTGCCGTCTGAGTTTCCGTCAAAGGAGGAGTAGCAGAAAGGGAGGAAACAAATTAGAGAAATCCGATCTCTCTTTTGGACATAAACTAATTTAACATTCAATGTGTAGATTAATTTGTGGGAATAATGTAATTAGTTTTTCAATGTATTAAAAATAGTACGTAGTAATAGTAATCCAAATAAATAATTAAATGACATTAATAATAAATCTAATGATAATTAATTTTATATTTAATTTTATACACTTGGAGTCCATGTCCAATAAATACAAAGTAGAACTTTGTTTTATGACAGAAAATAAAAGTTAAACCAGAATTTTCTTTCATAAAAATATATATAGTGTATTATATACATAATCGTTTCAAAAAGGAAAAGGAAAAAAAAAAAATAGTTGATAAAATAATAAAAACCAAAACAATCTTGCAAATAAAGAAAATCTAAATGAGTTTATTGTTCTTTGAAAAAACTAAATTTAAAAGAACTTATTTCCATCATATGCTGGTTTTTGACATCTGGTTCGTTTCCACATCTCTTTACTTTTTATTTAACGAAAAGAAGATTGGGAAAATAAAACTTTTTCTGATAAGATATAGAAAATATATTAACAGAGAAAAATAAATCAATCAATCAAATTAATTATATGAAAAATATGACCTAGAATTATGTATATATATATATATATATATTCATTTCCAGAAAATAAAGAAATAACAAAGATGGGAAAAACTCTAGTATGTTTCCTCTTCTTTTTCATCTCAATCCAGATGATAGACTCTATTATTTTGTTTAGGCATTTTAACATCGAAATTTATAATGATCTTGGAGGTAAACAAAAACTAATGGTCCATTGTAAAGACAAAGAAGGATCGACTGAAGTCGTATTTCTTCGCTCCCATATACGATTGAGAGTCCGAATTATAATTTTCCCAAGAACTTTAATATGGTGTAACTTATGGAAGGTAACTTAATAGTTTATGTCTAGTTCTTACACATTCTTAAATCTCAATGTATACATTGAGATTAAATAGTTTATTTTGTCAGTTACAAGTTTAATATTGCCTTTGAGCTTGTTGTGTGGATCATGTATTCAAAACAAGAAATTAAAGTACTTTTATTTCCATTTTTTAAAAAATGATTATGCTAAAAATATAATGAATAAAAAAGAAACTACATTAATATCCAAATAAAAATTGCTTTTGTTAAAGTGTTATGATTATATAGTAAGAAAATATAAATTTAATCTAGGATTTGAATGGCGAACGGTAGAGATAAATCATTCTGTATATACAAACCATTTGCTACAATTTGTATTCTTTTGGTTCATCAAATTTGTTATTGCAGATTACTGGTTTGCTATTGGTACTGATGCAATGCAATTTAGTACACAAGCTTATAATTCCGCAGCATTCACAAAACAAAACTATTTAAGTTTCTAATTTTTAAGTCTCTCTATATTTCTGTTATGTGTGTGTGTGTGTTCAGGGACCTAATTATGAGCAGCATATGAGATTTACCGCATTTGTTGAGACGGAGAGTTTCATACATGACGTATGTGGGAGTAGGAAGCCTAACGTGTGTTTCTGGCAAGTGCAAGACGACGGAGTATGGGCACGTCATAATCCAACCGGAGCTCTTAAGCTTATGTACAAGTGGGATCACAAACTCTGACCAGTAAATTTCTTTTTATTTTTTTCAATATGTTATTATTGTTTACCGAGATCGCATATTACATTTAAACAATGATTATATAATAATTAAGAGTATGTTATTTTAAAGAGAAAAATTGTGTACATTAAAAAAAAAACTAAAAACTTGTACAACACATACATCTAAGATCATAAAAATGAGATTCACATTAACAAATAGACCGAAATTTTTCTTTGGCCAAACGATATGTTTCTTTGTTTGAGCCCATTAGAAACTTAAATTGTGTATTTTGTTAACAGAACTTGATTTCTCATATCAAGTTATGAACGGTGAAGCTTAACGAATTTTGCATTAACAAGTGTCCTCCCAGCTTTGTTGTCTTTTCGAAAATAATATTTCTATCACTTCAAAATCCAATTATGTACATGCAATTCAGCTTTTAAATAATGTCGCCAAAATTCTACATCAACTGTGTCCTGATTCTAAATAAAATCCTCAAGATCGTCTAATCAACATTAAATCTTTTCATGATAATGCTTACTATATACATGAAATAATCCATGAAACCTGTAAATAATCGGGGGTTTTGCTACTTTAGACATCCACAGGTGGCCAATCATGATTTAAATCATAGTGGGAGGACTAACATAGTTATTCCTCAACCACTCATACTAAGAACCAAGATCGATTTTTTTTTTTTTTTTATTTTATCTTTTATCTTTTCTCCCAGTTCGTATAATGAAGATACAATAATTGTGAGAATAAGAAATACATAGTTTCTAATAACAAATTCCTCAAATTATAATGTTTATAAAACTTTAGTAGTAGGTTGAAAAAAAAAAAAAAAAAAAAAAAACTTTAGTAGTAGTAAAAAGGTAATAGTAAAATTGTGACACAGAAATTGTAAGAAAATACAAAAAATGCTAGACTTTCATGTTGAGCAAGTAACCATTGGTTTGGAAACTGTAGAGGTCAAGTCTTTCAAGTTGAGTACAACTGGACACCTAACGCGCAAACTAGTCTTGAAGATCGAACTCTTGTAGATCTTTAGATCTGCAATTACGACACCGTTTGTGATACCGTTTCTCATCTGAAAACTCCCATTAGGCTCATCCTTCTTGTTGCTTGCTACGACAGCTGTCCACGTGGTACGTTCATGTGGCTCCTGAGACGTCTCCTGCAAGAAAACCCTATCTGTCTCGAAAATTCCTTCGATCTGCACGAGTAGACTCCCCTTGCTGTAGTGAAGAGTCGAAGAGCTTGGGTTGGTCGATGACAGTTTTACCTGTTTATTAATTTGATTTAAAACAACATTCGAGTTTAGTTAGAGAATGTTTTGGAAAATCGAAAGCTTATTATGGTTAGAATGGTTCTACTTTTTGAATAACCGAAAATGGAAGAATAACAAAAAAAAAACTGAAGGAATTAAATTGAACTATGAAAAATAACACAGAAGACAAGAAATTGCTTTGATTGAAAATTGAAAAACATAACTACTTTGAATAACATAAATATGCTACTCTATCCATTCTAAAATTTTAAATAAAAGCGTAAGAAAATATTTTTCTAGAAAAACATCATTTAAAAATCAGTTAAAAACACGATTTAAGTCAATCATAAGAAAGACTTATAGAATTCAAAGAATTAAAAAGTATCAAATAACATTAAAAAAAATCTGTATAGAAAAACTTGTAGAGATTTTATAAATTGAAACCTAAACAGCCTATATCAGGGAAGAGAGGAAATATAAATTTTAACCCTAAACCAAAACCGTACAAAACTAGATTCGATTTTGCTAGTAGTTTTTCTCAAATTCAAAAAAACCTAAAACCGAATTTGGATAAACCAGTGTTGAACAATTTGATGGTGTTTTGGAACTGGAATGAGACTGGAAAAAAAGTTTTAAAAAAACTTACCAGCACACTTGATTTTGAGAGTGGGTCGACGTAGAGATCGTCAAGCATGAACCGTGGAACCGGTGGTTTGTTTGCGTAGTACATGACGGCAGAGGCAACACCTATTATAATTAAAACGCCAATAAACCCTATTATTTTCACACTTTTCTTTTTGTTGATGTCTTTGTAACTTATGCTTTTGTGTTTTGACGTAGTGCCTTCTTCTTTTGCTTCTGTCTTCTTCGTTGCTGCTTCTTCCTTCGTCATTGTTTAAGATGCTAAATTGAGCTAACTTGTTAATTCTTATGGAACTTTTTTTGTGGTTTCCGAAGTAACCTAGAAGACGCTGATTTATATAGAGAAGGTTAGAGAGTAGAGATCATTTGGTTTCGGAAATCTTCTAAAATCAAGATTTGTAAGAGAAGAAAATTGTCGAAATGGAAAAATCATGGTTTTGGAAATCTTCTATGTTCACGAGACGAAGTTGCCAAAGTATAATATGTATATCTTATTTTTTGTACGTGGTTTTGTCTGATTTTCCTTTATGTTTGAGAAAAAAACATGTTTCATCATTTTTTAAGGATTTTTTTAGTATTATTTTAATTTTAATTGTCCAAAATAAAATTCTAAGCATCCAACTACAAAAATTGTACATTCCAATGAGACTATATGATTGCCTAATATTTGAAAATGGAAAACATCTTTCACACCTTGAATAAAAAGAGCCACGATTGAATCAAATCAGGGCCTCAATAACACTCTTAAAGAGGCAGAGAATAAAGTTGAGAGTAACAGATGATGAAATAATGCGGAGGACATAAAACCCCACAAGCAATCAATTTGTTCATGTCACTAGAAAGCTCTAGTGGTTACAAATCAAGATCCTATAATCTTACCAAAGGAGCTAGAACCATTTAGAAAAACATTATCCTCGTAAGTCTTAATCATCTCTCTTATTTACCAATCCAAAACAACAGTAGCACTTTTTCAAAGGATATATTCCCGAATGAAATCATCGTTCAGCCACAAGAAGCAAATTTAGATACTATAAGTAGTCATCTGATTCAGCCCCACTAGAACTATCAAAGCAGAAACCAGAATATGACCTTAACACAATAAGAAATGGAGCTAAGAACTTGCTCTACTATGATCATTGATACATTCTGAATATAACCCACAGATTCTCAGCCTTCTCCAAACAAGAGTAAGCATCCCTCTTGGCTATTACTTAAACCTAATAGTCCAATCTTGATATATTCTCACAAAATGTCTCCATTATGCTACAACCTCTAAAATTCCTATCTTTCAACATAATAGCAGGAAAAATCCAGAACTAGCCAAAAGAAATCTTAATAAGAACTCAATAGTACCAAAAACCATTCCAAAAACTATTCAAGTTTCATTAACTTCTATAATGCCCACAAAAGCTATAAATCTTATTGCACGGTAAGGTGAGAAATAGAATGTTGAAACATTCTCAAAAGTAACTCAATTACGGTACAACCTCTAAAGTTCCAACCTTTCAACCTAATGGCAGGGCAAATCCATAAATAACCAAAATCATTCCAAAGGCTTAATAAGAACTCAATAGTACCAAAACCATTCCAAAGACTATTCAAGTTTCCATTATCTTCAATCATTTCCACAAATATCTATATCCTTATTGCAGAATCAACAAAAGTTATACTAATCATCACAAAGACTGTTCAAGTAGCATCATCTTCAAGAATTGGAAAAAAAAAAACACAGAAATGACAAAAACAATACATCAAGCTTGACTGAAAAAAAAAGCTAAATCTGAAAATTTTCTCTCTGTTCTTTCTCCAATACATCAACATTTCAGTAGATTTACATTCATAATCATAAGAAACAAAACGAATTGGTTAAAATAAAACCCCTAAAATTGTAAAATCCCTAAAAGTAAGCAATTCATAATCAAAGATTTTTTCAATAGAAAGAAACTCACTTTTTGTTGTTTTCAATAAGGTTTACATCTCTTCGCCGGACCAATCATCTTCCCTGAGCTACTATTCGCCGGAACACCAACGGCAACATCGTCACAGTACATCGTGACGTATCTCCTCCTCCGATAAACTCCATACCGCGAAGTAACCGTAGAGAAAACCCTCAAATTGAACTCAACGTTCCCTTTCGATGCTCTCTCTTTCCCGATCGAATCAGCCAGTTTACCGTCGACGTAAGTCCCGGAGACAGCGAGCGTAGCGTTGATCGGAGTCTGATCCTCCGTCCCTTGATCGAACGGCTGCAAACGCGTATCGGAGAGAGACTCGCGGCCGTAGTAGAGAGTGCAGAAGACACTGTCGTAGTGAAGCGCCATCTTCGAATTAGGGTTTCGGAATTGGAGCTGTAGATCCCAGTTTCCGGTGACCTGATTGTTGGAGACGTTGAAATTGGAGACGGAGAGGGAGTTGATGAAAACGACGGGTAATTGGGGACGGACGACGAGGATGAAGATGAAGGAGATGAGTCCTAAGATGAGGAGGAAGACGAGGATGGCGATGAAGAGACGGCGGAGGAGGATCGCGCGTGGATTTGGCTCCGTCGCGAAGTAAGGGTTGTGGTTTTGGTAAGGGTAGGCGGTTCCGGCGTTGGGAGGTGGGTAACCGTTGGGTTGATGAGGCGGGTTCGGGTATGGATACGGGTATGGATATCCAGTGGCGGGTCTGGGATTCGGGTCTTGGTTCATAGCTTTGATTTTGAGAATCGGATTCGGAGAGACGAGAGAGGTTTTCTTCTGATTTGTGATGGAAGTACAAGTGAAGAAGAGAAAACTGATAAGGAACAAAAAAACTAAAAGGAAAGGTAAGATTTTTCCTGACGTGGTTTTTTAATTTATTTTTATTTTGACATGGTTTTGAGTAATTTATTACAACTTGCATGTTGCGAGGCCTCGACAAATATCCGGTTCATTTTATAAAATGATTTTATTCAAATCGAACCAGACCGAAACAAAATCTGAATAGAGATACATATTCAAAAAAAAATATGAATATTATAAATACCAAAATATCCAATACTACAATTATAAACAGAAAATATATTAGTTATATTTTGACAGAAATGACTAAAATATTCAAATCCAAAATCTTTGATTATTATTGTCAACATTAAACAACTATTGTACCATAAAAAAATTGGTAAATTTTAATCACATTTCATTTAATTTGAACTATTTTCTCTTGAATACATTGAATTTTTTGAATTTTTTTGGTATTTAATACAAATTTTGAGTACCAAATCTGGGTATCAAACTGAACCAAATTTGATGTGTATCCAAATGTCTAGCCCTAAAAATAAAATTACATGTTAACTAGTTTTAAATAAAAGATTTTTTTTTAATATTAACAATGATATAATCATGGAATCGGAGGGAACAAAGGACAAGGTGCGAACCGAGTTTCAGGCCGGAACACAAGACCAAGTGGCCAACCTAAGCGAAGTCGAGATTTAGGACGGGGCGCAAGAAAAAGGAGCCGACCTGAACGACGTCCTGGCCATACCAACTGGACCAATGACCAGGTCGCGTACCAAGAAACACATGGGGGCCATCCAACGAGTTCCACCGAGCCAAGTGTGTGATAATTCTAGGACGGCCTCTTATCAAGTGGTATCAGAGCCACGCACTTGTGAATCGGTACTATCTTTCTTTTCTTTTAGAATTCTGTCTTTTCTCATCTTTCTCTTGTAAATCGGTCATTTTAAAAAAAAAAAAAAAGGAAGTTCAAAAGTCAAAAAAAAAAAGGAAAGAAGTCCAAAAGTTTAAAAAAAAAACAAAAAAAAAACGATCTGAATTCTTTTCTTCCTATCTATTCTTCTTATCTCTTAAAACGTCCAACTTGCTTGATTCACCGATTCGATTGAGGCTTAAGTCGATTTGTCGATTTAGTTTGCTTATAACCGGAGAGAAACTCTAGTGTGTTGTGAGGTCATTAAGAGAGTGAGTGAACAAAGAGAGAAACACTTGTGAGGAATTTGATTACTAACGTGTTTGTTCAATTTTGCGAGGTACTTGTATGTCATCTGATTTCTCTTTGGACGACTGTGAGTTCTATACATTCCGAGACGGCAATCACGTTCGCTGGTATACCCCTGGGGAGATGGAAGCCAAGCTTAATCAAATCACCGAGATGATGGAGCGCATGAGCCAACGTATGGAGCGGCTTGAAGGTCAGCCGAGGCCAGCGGAAGTAAACGATCAAAACCAAGAGGAACCTATGCACATCCGCCGAGATCGGAACCAGGAACCTGAGATCGACAATCCTTTCTACGATGACAACCATTCATCTGGTAGTAGCCGAGTGAGACCGCGAGGCAACCGAATGTTTTGTGGCCGAGCTGGAGGAATCCGAGACCGAGGACACGCCATGCCCGCGAGAAACCCAAACGACCGTTATGAAGGTGGAAGGCCACCGCAGCGTTACGAAGCCGAACCGGTTAGAGGCCGAAACGACAACGACCTCGGAGGAATGAAGCTCCGGATCCCAACGTTCTACGGCAAGAGCGACCCGGACGCTTTTCTGGAATGGGAAAAGAAGGTCGACATCATCTTTGGGTGTCAAGATCTTCCGGAGAAGAAGAAGATAAACCTAGCTGCTTCAGAGTTCAACGGCTACGCAATTGATTGGTGGGATCAGATTGTGATCAGTAGAAGAAGAAACGGAGAACGGCCCGTTGAAACCTGGGAAGAGATGGCTACCTTGATGCGGCAACGGTTCGTGCCCGCGCAGTATCAACGCGAGCTGCACACCAAGCTCAGACGACTTATTCAAGGAACCAAGTCTGTGGAACACTATCACCAGGAAATGGAGAGGCTTATGATCAAAGCCGATGTCTTTGAACCTGAGGACGCAACGATGGCGAGATTCTTGAGTGGACTAAACCGAGACCTTCAAGACCGAATGGAACTTCAGGAGTACCAGGACATGTACGAGATGTTACACAAAGCAATCCTCTTGGAACAACAACTCAGGCGCAAGGGAAAAAATCGGTTTACTGCCGGATCTAGTTCGCGACCAACCTACCGAGAAGATAAGGTTGTCTATCCTACGCGGCCGAAGTCCGAAGTCAAGCCCGATCAAAGCACCGACCTCAAAGGCAAAGCCGAGGTCACCTCAGCCCGGACTCGGGATATCGAATGTTTTAAGTGCCGAGGCAAGGGTCACTATGCTAATAAATGTCCAAATCAGAGAGCTATGATTCTGTTGGACTCCGGTGAGGTCGTCTCCGAGGCAGAAAGTGAAGCCGAGCCAAAATATGACGAAGAGCCAGAGGAGGAGTATGCGGCTGGAGGAGAGCTACTGGTAGCACGGCGAGTGTTGGTGTCCCAAGAACCGGTCAGAGAAGAGGATCAAAGAAAAAACCTCTTTCACACGAGGTGTATAGTCATGGGGAAGACCTGCAGCATGGTCATATATGGAGGAAGTTGCACGAATGTAGCGAGCCAGAGTATGGTGGAGAAGCTCGGGATGCAAACCATCAAGCATCCGCATCCGTACAACCTCAGATGGCTTAACAACCAAAGGCAACTCAAGGTCACCAAGCAGGTCACCGTGCCATTCAAGATCGGACGGTATGAAGATGAAGTGCTATGCGACGTTCTACCCATGGAGGCCGGACACATTTTGTTAGGACGGCCGTGGCAGTTCGACCGGAAAGCAGTCCACGACGGATTCACCAATAAACATTCTTTTGAACATCAAAGACGGAAAGTCGTGTTGGCACCTCTATCACCCCGCGAGGTTTACCTGGATCAAATCCAACTGGAAAGGAGTAGCAAAGGCAAAACTACCGTGAGTGATCCCCTAAACCCATCCACCACTAAAAAATGAGAGTGATACACTGAGTGAGTGATAACACCGAATTTTGACCATTTTTATGGATCATTTTAATATCTTTTACAAGTGTTTTTACTCCATTTTCAAAGGTTTTCAAAGGATTTCTATGTTTCCGGATTTTAAAAGACTTTTCAGGTAATGTGGGATAAAGAGGCACAAAATGGAACAAAAATACTCTTTTGGATAAATGCAGACCGTCAGAACTCTCATGGAGAGACGAAGACCTTCTCACCGTCTGATCACCCTCAAAATTGGACAACTTATAGAAGAATCAACCAGCTTTCAAATGCACTTGGTTTGGAGACATTCCAACGGTTGGATCTCAAGATATTTCATTAGCCCCAGAGCCATTCGAAGTCGGTCAGTAACTCACCCGACCGCGGCCAACAAGCTATTTGCCGCGGTCAAAAGCTTCCCAACCGCGGCCAACAAGCCAATTGCCGCGGTCACAACACTCCCGACCGTGGCAATCAATCTCCGAGTTAAAGCCCACTTATCTGAAGCCCAAAGTCATTTTCAGCCTCAATTCCGGAACCCTAGAGACCATGGAGTATTGGAGACTATAAATACATGTCATTTAGGTCGTTTTTAGGGAGAAACCTTGATACTTTACAGAAACCCTTTTCTTTTAGCCGTTTTTATGATATTTTTGTAGAAGATTGTTCAAGTCCGAGTTTTTCAATAGAGAAGCTTTCTTTATCTCTTTTCTTTACTGTTTTTCATTACTTTTATTAAAACCAATGATGATGTCGAACTCAGCCATGTCTGAGTAGATCCCGAGTTGGGCTTACGGTTCCCGAAAGGGGCTCTCATAATCGATTAAGACATCTAGGTTTATAGATCTGGGATTTCGACCTGTTCTCTGTTTATTCTTGTTCTTATTGCATGTATGCTTGATTGATCACCTAGTATCTGATCTAGATAGTTAGTGTTGCGAAAGTTTTCATTAAGTATCAGCCCTAGAATGAAACAGGCGATTTTTCCGTAGGAGTGGAAACCTACCTGCGGCGAGATCGTGAGTATTGACGAGTCTTGTGCATCTCTTGTATTCTCTCCCTTCCAGGGTCAGAGTGGAAACCTACTGGTCAGAGTTGCGAGAAACAGTTGGTTACGATCACGAAAGTGACGTAGTCATACCGCCGTAGTCTAGCTAGAACCCATATATCGTTATCTGTCAATCCCAATCTATCTACCTTAGTGTTAAAACCGATTATGATCCCTTAGAGTTCCCAAAAGCTCAGCGTTTTTAGCCATAGTTTACAATTCCATCGATTTTTACTTGCTTTCTTAGACCTGCATTTCAATTTCCTTAGTTCATTATTTACTTGCTTTATTTACTTTTCATGCGATATTTATTTGTTTTCTTTTGTTTTAGTTTAATTCGCAAGAAAAACAACCAACCTTTAAAACCAATTTAGTCTAGACATAAAGTTAAAAACCGTAGAAGAATACCAGGCACACAAATCTCTGTGGATTCAATCCCTAAATACTACAACTGATTAGCTGTGCACTTGCGGCTTTCATTTGTTTTGTTAAGGGTAAAACTTGTTCCCTGACGTAGTTGACACGAGCACATCAAGTTTTTGGCGCCGTTGCCGGGGATTTGTTTCACTGCCTTTTGCTATTTTTCTTGTTTTAACTTCTGTTCTAGACACCTGATCTCTAGTTCTTTCTTAAAGTTTTTCTGAACTATCTTTCCCTTCTTTTGTCTTTCTCTGAATTGCATGAATACCAGGCATAGACCTGCAGGAGACATTCCAATTCTAGACGAGATAGACAGACACGAAAGAGAACTTCGAAGACTTAGACGAACGCAAGGAGTGGCCAACGACGACCAGCCTGGAGATCCTATTAATCAAAATTTAAATATGGACCAAGACGGGTCCGAAGATGGAGAAAACGGAGAGAATGATCAAATAGAAGGTGAT